TCTCTTTATATATATATATATGTTTATTTATTTAATTTTTTTATTTAGAGAGAGAGTGTGTGTACTGTGGGCAATTCTATACTTGCTTGCGCAAAAACAGAATGTGGTCCACATGCTGGCCAGCTGTCAATGCTCCGACGCTCCACATCGCACCCCGACCCGCCAGAGCACCCGGAATGATGCCGATTCAGCGGGGGTACCGCAGCAAATCCAGAGGAGTGGTCTGCCCAGCATAGTCCCTTCGTCGAATCTCGCTCTGCCTTTAACGTGAAGGGGAACACATGGAATCTAGAAACTATCCGAGCTGAACCACCACTCCCCACTTTCCCATTGTCAGGGGGCAAGTATGGGTAAATAATGAAAGGCATAAGTATTAGACAGTGTACATGTCTTTTCAGTTGATCAAAACAGATCAGGAGAACTGAGCAGGACCACGCAGCAGCTGCGCCTCTTTGATGACGACAGCAGGCTGCGAACTCTGCGACTCACCGAAAAACCTGGATTCAGATAGTTTCCGAAACGATGTTTGGCCATGTATATGCCTAGTAGCATCGTCATTCTACACTATTCTACACCCGTTTATAATTTGCAGTTATCCTCTTCGTATTCCATCAACGCCAGCTGAATATTCTGCTCAAAGCTCTAGGAGCCAGGCTGGCGAGAAACCTGGATCGGAACGTGAATTGGGCAACGAAAAGCCAGTGGGTGCAATTCTGCAGCACTCCTGGAAGAGTTCTGCTAACACGCCTCAGAAAAGATCTCCTACTGGCACCTTCGATGTTTGTGCCCTGGTCGCAAGTGCTCCTGCAAGGAAATATAGGACATGCGCTAGCAGGTACGCTAGGTGAAGAAGGAACACGGGGAGGAGCTGGCAGCAGGCAGCCAGTGGACACTCCAAAGCGGTACTGCAGCCTTTTGCGCGTCTTCTAGGATTTGGTCTGTCCGCTCGTAAAATTTGGCCCGGAGCGCCTGGACGCTGAAGCGTTCATTCGTTTCATTTGCATCCAGACAGGCATGAAGGATCTGCATGTCCAGACAAGCTCCTACCTCGATTCGTTCCAGCTTCTCTTCGTGCACGCCGGGATCGCGAGCATCCTGCAATGAACGGAAAGCTTGATACTTGCATGTGGAGCCTCGCAGCATGTGTTCGCTGTCCAGCCAAGGCTCGGAAAGAAGCAGACGGTTTTCATACCAGTAGGCTGTCTCTTCTCGAAGTGCAACAAGGCACAGTCCATCTGGGTCACACAGAATCCAACCTTTCGTCCTGCCCGAAGCAGCTGGAGGCCAAACACATGCTTATCACCGGAGGGCACCAGCAGTGCACATGACTTGTCATGCAACATGTGTCAGCTAGGTTCAGTCCAACTGAACCCAACACGGAACAACTGAGACCGGTCGAAGAAAACAATGTGCAAGAAGCACTCACGAGAAACCCCAAATCGTCATGGGCCTCTGAAACAGTTCGCGACTCTTCTCGCGGAGCGGTGCCTTCACTTCTTCCACCTCGAAGGCCACCTGCAGGTCGCCAAGAGCGTGTCGGCAACTATAAAACCCCGAAACATAGTCATCAACTTCTGCGCACATTCTGCGTGGCATAAACGAAGTGGAAGTCCAGAGGCGGCGCGAGCCATGCGCGCAAAAGCCTAAGAGAACAACAGCAATCAATCAATGTGATACCAAACATCTGCAAGACTCTGCGTTGACTTTGCGCAGATGCCAATTGCGGCTGCTCCAATGAAGGATTTGAAACACAATCGAAAGCAGAAAAATGTGCCACCACCAGCACCAGCACCAGCACCAGCACCAGCACCAGCACCAGCACCAGCAGCAGCAGCAGCAGCAGCAGCAGCAAGGACTGCCTTCAACTGCATGCCGCACGTGGTTGTGTCATCTTCAGACGTTTAACTCCACTGTGATTAGGCAAAATGGGGTGGACAACAGTCTTGGGCGAGTTTGTCGATTGTCCAGTCAGTCAGACAGCTGTCAGTCAGCCGGTCAGCCTGTCTGCCAACCAGTCGATCGCCAGCTGTTGTGTTTCGAAATTTCTTATCACATTTTTTCCATCGATTGATCTTTCGAAGCAAGACCGCACTGTCCAGCTGGCGGTTCGGGAGAAGATTCATCCCTGCGACTGTTGCGCGTTTCCCTGTGCTCGTCACCGAAAATGCACGCCGCGCCACACCCCGAATGTTGAGAGTAGCCTCATCCCGCTGCTGTGTTACATCTCTTTTGGTTCCTCGCGAGTGAACATGAGCAGCGTCACAGCTGAAGCTGCGAATGTGACCTCATCCATGTGAATACAAACGAGAAACAAAAAATGAAACAATGCAACAAACCGTGAAAGAAAGAATACACGACACGAAACGACGGCAGAACATGAAGTTATGCTCACTCTGAGGCCCTGAGACCCGCCGAACCGAACCTTTAAATAGACATGAAAAAAGAATCACAATAAAAAAAACTTTGGTCGCCGCGGGCCCGGGGCTTGGAGAACATCTCTCTCATCCCTAGAAAATGAAAGAGCGATGTTCTCGACAGTCCAAGTTGGCACATGGACGAACTCCGGTGCCAGAGCACCGGCACAATCAAGCCGCGTAGCTTTGTGAACAGCTCGGTGCGATCCCCGCTGCAGTCTGGAAGCGAAATCTTTCGCCTCGGGGCGAGCATATGGCAAGAAGCATGTTCAGCCGCAGAAGCTGTAGCATCTGCAGCTTATTGTGAAGCTCCTTCGAAAACAAACAAGTCGTCCACGGGCTGGTCCTAATTGAAAAGCTTACCTTTCTGAAAATCTTCTGTGACTAGGTCTGTGCAAAATGAGTGGCAAAGCATCAAGTCATGGAAGGATCGCTTGCTAAGGGACTGGTTAGTTAAAGCCACATGTATCAGCATGCAAGCCATAACCAGCCAAGACCGACAGCGTGTTAGGTCGAAAGCAGCCAGTTCCAGTCCTGTTGCCTGGGGTAGAACGCCAGCCGGTCGAAGTCAGTTTCCCGGTCATTGTCGAAATTGCAGAAGACCCAGTATGGTGCTGGTGGAGGGAAAAGCTGTGCAATTGGCATCCGGATCAGCGTAAAGCCGTGCTTCTCTGCAATGCGTGTAAAGGATGTGACGAAGTGAACCATATGAGTGGAAGAGCAAACCTTGCAGCTTGCAGGTGTGTTTCAATCGTTGGTTGCTGCAGCCTGAAATTGTCAGAAACACCGCAACTCTTCAGTTCGGCCACGACACAAGCCATTGAATTACAAAGTTGAAGAGCTTTGGTGGAGCGAATACGTCGTCGTAAAAGAGCTCGAACCAATCTCGACTGCCCTTGAAGGCGGTTGGCAGGGTTGTGTCTCTTATGTACACAGTGCTGCACCCGCGTCTGACCAGAAAAGAGGCCCCGGTAGAATCCTCGCTGATATCCAGACCAGAACCATCATCTGTAGGCACCGAGCTACGTGGCGACGGCAAAGGCTGCTTTGTGTTGTCTTTTCTTCCAAAACACAGATCCTCCAGGTCTGCCTTGAAAGCGATGAAGTTCTCGAGAGTTTGTTGTCTGACGTCTTTTGGTAGAACTGTCCTGCCGCTGGATTGCAGCACCAAGAAAAAATCTGTGCCAACTCCAAACTTTCCGTTCAACTGCTCCACGGCTTGCTCGAAAATTTGCGCATGTGAGCCAGTACCAGGAGGCTTCAGCACGAAGAGGTTCTGCTTGAGAGCGCTGCGCAGCATCCAACCTCAGAAGAAAACGGGCTTTGTCCATCTATGTCCATCTGCCAGTGCTTCCGAAGGCCCAGCCTATGCACGGGTCTTGGGCTCGTTGTCCATCAGGTCCTTCTGAGCCATTAGGCGCATTGGCTGCACAAGTCTGTATGTTCAACTCACGCTGCCTCTTGTCAGTCTTTCCGCGATTAGTGCTGTCATCTTCAGAGTCTGGGCGATATGAGAGACGTTTGATGGCAGATGAGACCATGTGGGCATTTGCCCTGCTAGTCACAGTTTGTGACCTACTGACATCATGTGACATCACATCCAGTCCGACATTGACCGAACCCAGCAGTTCAATATTTACATGTCATGAGAAGGCCTGCTTTGACTGGATACGGCAGCGCCGGTGGCATGCGCAGGCCACCAGCCACCTTATGTAGTGCAACGCATAAGAGAGCCATCGGGGCTGTCCACGAAAGCAGTGATTCAACCCCAAGCTTCTGTTACGGCAGAGCTATGCACAGATCGAGCTGCGACTGCATCCAATCGGTTCCAGTCGGGCTGTGCTGGTGCATGAAAGCGCACCCGGGCTGGGGACCAAGTCGCCGATGAGGCCCGCTTGGGCGAAGCCTTAAGAAGCACACTGATGCTTGAGGCTGGGCTTAACCGAATCCCCAATCACCAACAAGCACCAGTTCCGACAAGGAACCTCTCCGAACATGCTACGAGATTGAGCCAGCTGCGGTTGCCGCACAAGATTCCGGCGAATATAGAAACGGTACTCATGCATCAGCTGGTGCTCTTCCTCTTGCTCCTCACACATCGGCAAAGCGCACCGCAGCAATTAATCTGACCATATCTGACATTCATGGAAAACGAGTAGACTCGGCTCGAGCAGTGTGCCGGCCCTGCTGTAGAAGGCACTACATCCCTTTGGCTGTCAAGAAGGGGTGAGTCATTGATCTCCAAGTCCCGGCCAGGACGAAATTCGCGCCTCGTGGATTTCTAAGGGCTCCTCTCCTATCTGAGGATCGAAGTGCCATTGTGTGCCGGCCGCCCGCACCACCAGGCGTCGCAGGGAGGTGGGCACAAGCCTGGAGCTCAGTCTACCCTGCTTGCATGGAATCCCCTGCTCCCTCGAGCTGCTCTTGCTCGTGCAGGAGAGCCGCTCGCCGTGGATGAGCATGTCTTCCTCCCCAGATGTTGCTTCCGCCTCGGGACTCTGCGCCAAACCCAGCTGGCAGCGTTTGTCAACTTGCGGCCTTGCTTGCAGATCCTTTGCGCAGTGATCTTTCTTGCTACTCATATCTACTCATGCTCCTCAAGAGCTTCTAGGCGGCTGCACGGGCCTCCATGGCCTCCTGAGCGTTCACTGCTTTTATGCGGCCTAGTCACGTCGGCGTCTGCGTGGGGAGGACAGGGCACGGCCATCCTCAGTTTCGAATTGTTCTCCACCTGAGAGTCCACACTGCGGAGAACGCTTGAAAAAGCATGATAAGCGTGATACTAATGATGTTCGATGCCATGATGCTTTCTCGTCCCACTCGTAGAGCTGTGCCCCCGGAATGACTTCCTGAGCTCTCCGAGGGAACGTAAGAATCCTGCTCGACATCGCCGCAGCCCAGTGACTAGGCGAAGGCCCACAAGGTCGTGCAGTGCTCGGATCCTAGCGGCAGGGATGGCGTTCTCAGACTGCATGCAATGTCTGATGTGTCTGAGGGAGGCTCTTTTCAGACTCGACGTCTGCAGAGTCGAAGCGGCTTGGAGAGACCGTGTAGGATGAGCCCTTTGGCAGCCTCAGGGATCTTTCTGCGGTCGTGCTCGTTCTTTGGGCACGGACTGCTTAAATCACAGCCAACACTTTGTTTGTGCTTGTGTCCGAGCAGCACAAGTGTGCTGGTTTCCGGTAGTGCACCTTGGGGATGTGGCAGCAAGCACGACATGCGCAAGCCACCTAATGTCTTCATCAGGACTGCTGATCCGACCCTTGGCTTCATGTTGTCTGCTCGGTCTGTCAAGACTGACCATGGATTCAAACTGATCTGGAGCTAAGCCATCGACGGTTGAAGAATGAGCGCAAGGCGGGAGCACGAAACTTCAGGGAACAAGAATGGATAGATGCAATCATGCGGAGTCTCCTACACGTGCTTTTCCAAGGTATTGCGGATGCACGATCAGGCGGTAACTTCCCGAGCCACGTATGGCACAGAGAGGCATAGAGAAGATGTTGCCCGCGAACTTTCTGCATGGCTTGCAGGCAATCTGTACTTGGGGTACTTGAGAAATGCTTCGAAGTGCATGCTGCTGATTTGCCAACACGTGCATCCCATTCGTGCGGTTGCATAGGTACCGGTACAGTGCCCTTAAGTGAACTCTAACTTTAACAGGGGAGACCAGAAGAAAGTTACCTGTGCTGGGACAACCGAACGCCTCATCCCACAGAGTCTTGTCAGCCCAGGCAACCTTCCTCGCCTCAGCCGACGTGGAAGCACCCACGATTCTGTGCACAAAAAGCCGTTGGTGCCATCAAGTCACATAGTGGTCGTCTTCCTTCACACAAAAGTGTTGATTCTACTACGCAGCAATCAGGCTGCACTGGCCAATCCATGCGATCACTTGTTCTGACTGCAGCTTCCGACATCTGCCGAGGCTGAACCAACATGAACTAACGATGTGTGGCACTCACACGCGCCTGCAAGACCCTGGAACTCCAACTGTACATGCACTATGGTATCGCAGGCCGGACGCCTGCAAGCTCTTGCTGACGACCGGCGGTGCTCCAGCATCCTAGGAAGGCGAGCCAGCTTTACGCAGGAAGGCCCTGCCGTGCTCCTTCTGCTAGCAATCTATCTGTAAGCATGATGCTGTCGAGCTCCATGCAGGGACAACCACAAATGCCGGCCATCGTTTTGTATTTGCTCATAAGCCTTTGAGCCAACCTCGCCGAGACCTTCCCTGCATCCAGCCTGGCTCCAGCTGGGGATCCACGATGGTGCAGCATGTGAATGACGTTCGAAGTACAGCATTGGCCTCATCAGAAACTTCGACTCTACAGTGCATAGTTAGAACTTCGAACAGCGATCAGACACTACCACAGCACGAATGCCTTCGGATGGCAATTTGATGCTGGCTGAGCACTCGGCAACAAAGAAGATCTTACACCACCCGCACCGGACAGGGATGGGCTAAAGCTGACCTGTCGAAACGAAGTTGAATTCAAAATCGGAGTACAGTAGATCTGCTGATGTTGGCGCTCCAAAGCTCTAGTTCCTAGTTCAGGATTCCGTTTCGGCGCGGAGTGTGAGCACAAGGCGACATTGCTTCAAACCATGGAATGTCGGGGAAAAACATAATATCCCGTTTACTGTACTTGCTACCGTAGCTGCCCGCCGTCAACAGGGGCCGGCATATGAGCTGGGATGTCTGGCATCATGGCGCGGACCGCCCCCTGATGTGTTGCTACAAACATGCAGTCCAAAGTTGGATGTGCGATGCTGCAAGTCTCATGACGGCAGAGGAAGTACGGCTTGGGAATCGGCATCGCGGCTTCGCAAAGAGGCCACAAAAAGTCCGCAAGCCAAGTCGAGCACGCCCGTTCTACTTTGGTGCCTCTATACTTATTTATTTCCTGCTTCGTTTGTTCCATCACTGCAATACAAACAAATAAACAAAATAAAGCACGAACCCCTGAATTCTCGGTTCCTTGCGGCTCACGACATTTAATTAATAGTAAAATAAGAGCCGCAATTCATTGTTGTTCTTGGGTTGCTTCCTCATTTCTTCTTCGTTATTCGCTTCGTTGTAGTGGAAAAAATTGAAGCACGAAAGGAGCGAACTCATAAAGCGAAATGAAGCAAACCACGAACCCACTGCAATCCTCTTCCTCGAAACCTATTGGAACCTTATGAATCGCCTGCCAGCTTAGTAGTTTGGGCGGCTAGTCACCCCTAGTTGCTTCACCAGCCAGCCAGTGACAGCTCTTGTTGTGTCAGCTTCTATCTGAGCGATTTGAAATTTTTGCCCCGAGCACTTGGGCGAGCCTGATTTGCCGTGTCTGGCAGCTTAAGACCCGGTGCCCCACAACACAACTAGTCTGATGTGCAACCACGAAAACATGTGAGTCGGCCTCTGGATAGAAGCTCATCTGAATCCATGTGGGGGAACGTGGCAACTCCTTTCAGCATTGCTTGCTTCTTACAGCAAAACACGCCTTCGTCAGGCTCTTCTGCAACACCTTTGCAAACCCCTTTTGCGCGACTCTGCTGAATCTGCTGGACATCAGCGCGGCCAGACTGACGTTCATGATTTCAGCCGTCTTTCAGCAAGTTCAGCTCCAACTCATGATCTGCTCCGGTGAGACCTGGGGGTGGCACAATGCGAAGCAGCAATGCGCCATATCAGGAAGCATGCGGTAGAAGCCGCCTTAAGACGTCAGTGCCATCAGTCAAGTGATGTCAAGTCTAGGTTTGGATCTGTCCGGAATGCTGAATCTTCGACGACGAGAAGCAACAACACGCCCAGTCCCGGCCTCGAAAACTTTGCCTATGTTTGCGTACCGTTCCTCAAGCGGAGGAAACACAACGTGCACACACACACAGACACGCACACATACGGGGTACTGTATTGAATCTTGAAGACAAGTTCTTCATGTCACCCGAGAGCTTGGGCAAATCGAATTTAACAGGTCGTAGGTCTTATGCATTAAACAAAGAAGTGCGCCTGCAACCATGAACGAGTGCTTTTTCTCAACAAACCACATGCTTGAGCTTCGGTTGTACCTAAAATTACCTAAACATCATGAAGCCTACGGTTGCGCATTCTGTTTCGGAGCATATGCGTGTGGTAACACCATGCCGCTGCATCAGTACGCGTTACGGCAAGCGTACTTTGTCTTCTCCTTCTCGTGGTAGTCTTAATAGGAAACCCTGAGCGCCTCCTCCCCGGTACACCGAGGCGCACCGAGGCTTGGTGTGGGAGTTCAGGAATCAGCGCAAATCTGTCGGTAAGAAGCAGAGCCGCTTCACGATGAAGCTCATAGATGGGCTTCATGGAGAAGTTTGGCGGGCTTGCCAGCAGCTGGCTAGAAGAAAGCCAGTAAATGCCTGTGATCAAAGCCACGATCGACGTCGACAGCTACTTTCGCCAGCGTCGGCAGGACTGGGCCGACCTGTGGGACCTGGGGGATCATGTGAGTGCAAGCACGGAGCTTCAGGCGTATTTTTTGTTGAATAATCCATCTCAAGGACGATCGCAGTCAAAGTCTGCTGGCCTGTCAGTCGAAGTGATGAGAGCTTCCTACATGACGGCATGATTGGCCTGACCGAGGGCGAGGCCAATATGAAGTTGAGGGCAAAGAAGCAAGAGGAGCGTGCCAAGCGGAAAATGGTCAAGAAGACCAATGACGACGCAAAGCGGCGGCAGAGACAGCAGCAGGATGGTACCACTGAGCAGCTCGAGCCAGATCAGGAATATTTTCGAAGGCGATCAGCAAAACAAAAAACACAGAGTGTGAGAAGCCTTTGGGTCGCTCCAGCCGGCCCGAGCATGACACGGTAAGCACAAGCATTTGGCGTGTTGGAAGCAGAAAAGTGTGCCATGCGCTGTTAATGCCTTTAAGTTAATACTTTAGTGTTGTGCTGGCCATGCAGTGCGGACTCCGCAATGGTAACGGAGCGGGCGAACTGCGCCCCATGGCTTCGGATGCCATTGGGCGTGGCCTTTGGAGAGATGATGAGATAGTAGTGCACACGTTAAAGATGGTGTTCCCTCCTACACTGGGGCGCAGGCTTGATGCCGGGGTACAGGAAGCGAATGCTGTTTGCTTTCAGCATCAGCCACGACGAAAAGAAGGAGCGCAAATCCGTCGCCAAGAAACAGAGCCGCTGCACGAAGAAGCTCATATAGACGGGCTTTATGGATAAGTCTGCGAGAAAAGACTGTGATCAAGGCCACAGAGGCGTTCGACACTTGCTTCGAGAGTTGTTACCGGAAGCGCGGCTCAGGCGATCGACAGCTACTTTCGCCAGCTGTAAGCCCGGAGCTTCAGGCGTATTTTTTGCTGAAGAATCCATCCCAAGGACGATCGCAGTCAAAGTCTGCTGGCCTGTCAGTCGAAGTGATGAGAGCTTCCTACATGACGGCATGATTGGCCTGACCGAGGGCGAGGCCAATATGAAGTTGAGGGCAAAGAAGCAAGAGGAGCGTGCCAAGCGGAAAGTGGTCAAGAAGACCAATGACGACGCAAAAGGCTGCAGAGGCAGCAGCTGAAGGCTACCATTGAGCAGTTCGAGCCAGATCAGGAAGTTGCGAAGTCGATCGTTGCTGATCGAGATGGCCCCAGCATAAGATATGAGACCGTACGCTTCTTCCGCTCGCCTGCTTACGAGCACAGGTCTGCTTAGATTGTACACGACACTGGGTAGATTCTTTGGTTTCACAGACACCCGCGCTTGGCATGTTTGCCGTAGAGAGTGTGCTGCGGGTTTTTTCAAAGGCTACGATAAGTTTTCGCGGCCGTGCCTCCTGGCCTGTTAGTCGAACTGCTTGGTGGAAGATGTGGAGGCCATCGAGAAAGCGCTCAGGGTTTCCTATTAAGACTACAATGAAAAGGAAAGGGCAAAGCACGCTTGCCGACAAGGAGGTGGTGAAGGGCCTCCTACATGACGGCATGATTGGCCTGACCCAGGGCGAGGCCAATATGAAGCTGAGGTGTCCAAAAGCAAGAGGAGGGTGCCAAGCGGAAAGTGGTCGACGCAAAGCGGCTGCAGAGGCAGCAGCGGCTGGGTGGTACCATTGAGCAGTTCGAGCCAGATCAGGAAGATGCGAAGGCGATCAGCAATACAAAAAAACGAGTGTGAGAATCCCTTGGACGCACCTGGGATTGCTGACCGCGCAAGCCGGCCCGAGCATGAGAGATGAGACGGTACGCTGGCTGAGGCACGCCTGCTCACGAGCACAGGTCTGCTTAGATCGCACACGACACGAAGTGGGCTCTGTGGGTCACCGACACAAGCACTTTGCATGTTTGCCGTATTGAATGTGCTGTGCGCTTTTCCCAAAGGCTACAAGAAGTTTTCGCGGCTTTGCCTCCTGGCCTGTCAGTCGAACTTCTCGGTCTCCACCACTATACTATATCTTATCATCTTACCAAGAGCCATGGCCAGTGGCATCCAAAGCCATGGGGCACAGGTCGCCAGCTCCGTTACCATTGCGGAGTTCGCGCTGGCCAACAGGAGATTAAAAGCACACAGCACACTTTCTACGGCAAACATGCAACGTACTTGTGTCTGTGAAACCAACCATTCTGCTTCGTGTCGTGTGCAATCTCGGCAGACCTGTGCTCGTGACGCGTGCCTAAGCTATCGTACTGTCTTATGTTCGGGCCGCCTTGGAGCGATCAGCAAGGAGCTTATCAGAGACAGAAAGTGGAACAGAAAGCAAAATGGAAACACGATAAAACGAAGGATAATGCAAACATCACAATGCAGAAAGGATGCAGCAAACGTCATGAATACACCAGAGAAACATGCTAGCCAACACATCTAGCAACTTCAAACCACGACAACCCGGGAGCACGAGAAGCGTGTGCACTAACAAAGGCAAGCTTCCCAACTTACGACAACTTTGCTGGCCACTGTATCGCCAGCATCACCAGCACAGGGGGCCAATCGGAGAACTTCGCCACGGTCTCCTGCATACACCTGTCGAGGCAACCAAATCAGAAATGCCCCGGTAAGTAGCATCCTGGTCCTTGTACTTGGAACCACTGCCAGAACTGGATGACGACATCTGAGGAATCTGGGCAAAATAACCTGACTCGCGAAAAGACAAAACGTGCGGCTTGACTGAGTTCATGCTGCAGTCACCGAATTATCAGCCCCCTTTGGACTCAGGACAAGTAGAGCAGCACTTGTAACTTGCTTTGTCGATTGTCAGATCGGCGCCTCGGCGGAGACTTCACACAGAACCGAACAGAACGATTGGGAAATCTCGGTGTGCCACGATATTTGGCCGACTCGCCCCTCCTTAGAGACGTGTCAACTTTGAACTTCGGCAAAACTTCCAAGCAAAAGCCCAGCCACCATTTAATCTTCTGCAGCGCTGCAACTAGCGAATGTCGCTTCAGCCTCGGTGTCACTGAGTCCGGCTTGCATTCTTTCGTTTGTGATGTAGATTCATGCCAGAGCAATCATGTCACGAAATCGTGATGTCAACGCTGCGCTGCTTATTGAAACGACGTAAACTGCGCTTTTTGAGGCACGGGCTCGTCTACGGGCATCGCTGAAGGGTCATTTGCCAGTGTGACCTGCAAAAGACTCGCTTGCAAGTGTATTCAAAGCAGGATGGTGAGGCATGGCTTGGCAAATGCCCTTGGCAATTGAAGGCTCGCTACTGTAAGTTGTCTCGAATGTTACACTGGTGGTTGCCAAGTGTGCCTGACCGTCGCCGTTCACAGCATATCTGGGTATGTGGAAGTACATGGGCCACATCCTGTGCACAGGACATCAGCGTAAGGCACAAGGATCATAAAGTCTATCACCGACGAATGATCAGAGAGGCAAGGGCGGCCTCATCCAAAAATTCTGATATTCACCAGGCGGCTTCATCCTCGACTTGCAAGGGAAATAGCTCTTTGACGCACCTTCCGCTGTCACAACGGCCTGTGATGCAAATCTTGGCCTTCATGCCGAGGGGTGCAGGGGGCATATTTGCAAACCGAGATTTATCCGAGAGCCAAACAGTTTGAAAACCGAGCCAAGTCACGTGCTCATCGAGAAAGGAAGCCTCCCCACAGCTGTTCAGTGTTGAACAGTCGCAGGCATTGGATTTCTGCCAGCGTTGAGCGGAACCCTGCTATCCAAGAAGCCATTGGTCCCACGTGCTGACTTGTCCTAAGCTGCAGGAAACCAACAAGGCGCCGTCCTCTCACTGCCAGGCCGACAACTTGAATTCCGGATTCTGGAGTACCAGGATTCGCTCCAAGTAATCAATGATTCCCACCTTCACGTCGGTGTGTTAGTCGCTCAGACACACATGGCTGGTGCAGCTGAGTCCCCAGCGGCAAAGCGCAAGGACCGCCCTGTCGGGTCCTGAAATGGTGTTCGGGTGCGTTCCTTTGGAGGACAAGCAGCGGCCTTCTCGTGCTGCGCCAGTTCGAACAGACTTTACAATTACAACTCCGAAGCAGCCAGCGTCCGCATCCAGAATCAGCGGCCATCGAGGCTTTTGGTGCTGGCATTGGCACCTCCGCATGCTCCAGCAAAGGGCAAAACCACGAGATAACGCCTAACCTGGATGTCGTTAGCTACGCTGTATCACATGATCCTTGCTGGCATAGCTCGACTCTCAATGCCGGAAAACTAGAGATGGCTTCAGTACAATGCAAGCAATCATCAGGGTGTGGAAGCACTGTGCAGTCACCTAAGTTTCCAGAATGTGTCACCATCTCCACCTCATGCACAAAACATCACGAAACCATCACTATGCTTGCTATCCACAATCGTTTCCATGTGTGCGCGGAAGAGTGTGCAAGCCTGCGTATGTGTGTGGGGAAGGACCTTCAGTACACGCAGTCAAGACTGCACCAATCCCTGAACTGCCTGTCGCTGGAATCAAAGTCACTCGTGACATGTGATGGAAGCCGGTTCATCTTCCGGTGCTTGCGCAGCATGTGCATTTTTGCATCCTTGCTGTTGGCATCTTGAACAAGTGTTTCATAATTTCACATGAACCTGCGCCACATGACATGCTGGAACTCAGATTTGCCTCTGCTGAGATGAACTTCATTTGTAAGCATCAACGGCGTTGAGCCCAATCGACTTTGGTAGGCACTGCTGCGTGGTAGTGACAGTTCCAGTCATGACCATTCGCGCACTGCAGATTCGTCATCGTGATCGCCCACTGACATCTCCATCATGACTCCGTCTGGCAGATTCTGCAATCTCCCTGTCACCCCTTGATGAAAGTGTCGGAGACCTAGACCTAGGCCCAAGGCCTTAGAAGCAGGGCTTGACACCCACGCACACATACGCAGAAACATATGTGTGACTGGTCATTCCAAGATTTCAATTGTGCTAATCAGGCTGAAGCACGATGCACTTGGTGGCAATGTGTATGGAACCAGGAACAACGAATAGTCCGTCATCCGCAAGTCCCGGAGGAACTCAGAATCCTCCGGAGTTCGCTGCGGTGGAGGCTAGCACAGCACAGAGAGCTCCGGTCCAGCTCCAGAGTAGCTGCAGCCTCTCGACTGCCACAAGCTTGCAGAGGCAGGCCAGAGGGGAAAAGATCCGTAAAGCCAGCCTGGGAATCCGGAAGGTCAAGGCTTAAGGCATAAGCGCAACTCTCGGCTACAGGTTCTTGAGCCGCCCGAGATGCATCCTTTCGGTGCGAGACCACTGCGTCTCCGAAGTGACTTTTGCCTGATGTTGAAGAAGTCATGGGGAGCATCTCTGCGGCAGCTAGTGGTGTGCGATCCGTGCAGGCTGAGCCGAACACCGTCCCGAATACCGCAAAATTTGGGGCCTTTGAGATCCTGGCTTGCTGTGCGATCGCTTGCACTGACAACTCTACAATTACAACACTTGCCCTTCGACGTGTCCAGGAACTCTATCTCATCGTGGCTAGAATCCTTGGGCAGGAACTTTGCGAGTCCCTGATGCTTGGAAGTAGATAGCTCCCATTGCCTATACATTCGCATCTGGCACCTACGCGTAGAAACAGGTCATAGCCACGGTCAATTTAGCAGAGCACTGTTTGGAGGATTCTGATTAACCAGGAGCCGAGGAAGACAAACATGTAATTAACATGCGACTTCGACAGTTCCCTCATGCATCCACAGAAGAACGTGCAAGGCCAATTTGAAAGCACAGTCCAGCACACCAGGCGACCACAAGCTTCAGCTTCGAGACGTCTCTTGCTCTTGCTTGCGGCTAAGGTCGCGGCTTCTGGAATGAACATCGTCGTGCCTTTCACAGATCAGAACGCATCAACGGCACTGTGATGCTGGCGGGGTCACAGCCAAAGCGCGATCGGCCATGGCAGCGGGTAACTCCACTTTGCGCATGACACTCCTCGGTTGATTTTTGCGACATGTCTCAGCGCATCTCAGCGCTCTGCGAGTCTCTGCGACTGTGCTGGGCCAGGGCACCAGTGCACCCGCTTGTAGATGTCGGGCAGGTCCAGCACTGCACAAATGGGAGCGATCCTGAGCGCCGCCCCTTTCTCTGGACCCCATCGCCAGAACTTCTCTCTTGCCGAGGCACGCCGTCCTGTAGCAGCCTTCACAGCATGGCAAACCATTCTAAGACTTGTGACCACCCACATCCGGCCCCACTGCTCCAGGTACAGATACTATCATCTAGGTTAAACCTGCAACAGCAAGGACTGCCATCAAACGTGACAGAGCACACAGTCCATTTCTCGAGTTGTTTCTGTACAGACTCCGATATACTCTGCTTCATCGAACAGACTCGAGCAAGTGTTAACCTCGTCTTCCAAGCTGAGACTTGAAACGCCGCTACAGCTTATGCTTGGCTTGCTTGCTGCGGACCTTCAACATGCTCCGAGGACAAACCCAAACACGGAAATGAAGCAAAAGTTGCGCCGAAGGCTGAGTTGTTGTGGCGCTTGCAAGAGCAGAAGGGGGCCGTTAGCAACGGCTCGCGCGGGACTCGAAGTTGAAGGGTTTGGAGATGGAGCCCGTGAATGCCGGTGCCGGTGCCTCTGTGCCCTTGCCCGACACTCGAAGAGAGATGCTACGAGCCGCGGCCAGCTCTCCCCGACGCCTAATATTTGAAAGCTTTCATCGTCAGCGCCTTCTCCGTGCTTCCGGCTCTCTTCCTGGAGCTTCATGCGCAGAGAAGGCATCACCTGAGATCGGCCCACGTGGGAAACCGAGGCGCGCACGCTCCCCAACCTAACCACCAACTGCAGGTCCTGCCTCACGCACAATGTGTGGATTTTCATCGTCCTTCTCAGAGGCAAATGTGGGCTTTTCTCCGCACATTGCAGATTTCCGCTTATCGGTGCAACGTGGTGCACGCAAATCCGTTCACAGAGATTGAGACAAGGAGACAGTGACAAGGAGGTTAGACCACGCTACCTTGAAGTTCTTGATGATGAACCGACGCATATTCGTAACAATTGCGGAGCCACTCCTCCTGTCAAAAGGGGCACTTGAGAATTCCGTTCGCACATCTGTTCGAGTGCAGCATTGCGGCTAATTTGATCACATCATTCGCCAAGTCGCCCTGTGGCGTCTCTCTGCGCATGGATGCCTGCAACGTCCTGGCGGGCTGTCTGCTCCGCCCACACGCCATCAGTATAAAACGGTATACAGTGCATGGTACACAATAACATGGAGTCTGTTGCGTGCCTGCGCAAGATCAGCAATCGAGCGGTTGTCGCAAACATCTCGATTTTCGAGATCTTCCAAGCCAGCCCAGCAGTCACGGAGGTCGATGCCGAAGTCCTTATAAGGTATCCGTGCAGTCAGAAGTCCAGCCTGCGGACTCCGCCACCACCGCTGCTGCGTCTGAATTGACTGCACTAATGCTGTGTCAACCTCTGCTAGAACGGAAACGTCGAAATCAAAGTCGACGGCGAAGCATGACGTAGCCCACACATGGGAGATCTGGCAGACGGACTGCCCATCATAATCAGTTTGCTGTGTCAGCCTGCAGTACTAGTAACTAGGTTTCGTAATCAGAACATGTCGCAAGTGACCCTGACGCAGCCAATCTTAGCCAACGATGTCGTCCAGGTATCGAAGGTCATCTTCCGTATGGGACGATCTCGCACGCGGAAATGTGCCTCTTCGTTGCACTTAGACTGTGGCAAAGAGACGAGGTGACTCCACATCTGCTGAGATTCCCGCTGCCAAATCCATCAAGGACCTGTGCATGTCCAGACAAGCCGGGAAAGTGAATAGATGAATGCACAAGCACACAAACGCACAAACGCAACAAAACGAAGAGATGGACATACACAATCAAACCCACGTCGAGAGATATACATATACATATATATATATAGAAAGATAGATCGATAGACAGATAGATAGATAGATGTGCATGTACATGCCTTAGCAGGTACATAAAGATGCGCACGTGCAGCAGAAGTACAGCTACGATCCCACAAGCCAAGCGCATTTTGTTTCAGCATTGTGGAGCCTGACTTGCTGTAGCTAGCTGAACTAGCAATTTACCAGGAGCTTGCGATACAACAAATTGCTATCAAGGACACGTGAAGTCGTGGACATCGAGCTCACCCACCTGCCGACAGCTTGTTGCACGCATGCTGCTTGGTGGCCCTCAGATCCGCTCCTGCATGATTTGACTCTTCTGATACGTTCCAGTTCCAGGATCAAGTGGTTTATACCGCCATCCGGGGATCTTGTGAACGTGCGCCAGGCGCAGACCCAAAAGCAGCGTGTCGTTCAGAAGCGGAGCGGAAACGAGGGGTGAGGGGAGGACGTCGCTCATGTGCCCAGACTGAACTGCATCGAAGGATGTCTCTTGCAGGCTTGCCCTTGCAGGCAACAAGTGTAGTATGCAATGCACCCAAGAAAGGATTAATTTCCATCCGCTCAACCTTCAGTCGCAGCTTCCAGTGAATTGCGCGTTGCATTACAGCCATGATACTACAGGGCTACCTGCTTCACTGTGGCTTCCGTCGGGCAGAAGGATGGCACGGCATGGCTTCACAGTCTCCGGCCTTCACAAGGCGTCCCAGCACCTTGTGCCCAGTCATGTCCTTGACTAGAAGACTATCTGACAACTAAAGATACATTGCGGCTTGCCGATGCCCATCCGACTTTTGCGATGTCGGGACGGAACGGAAGGGGCGACGGGGAAAGGACAAGACGGAATGGCACGGAACGGGACAGGGGCCGGGACGGAAGGGACGGATGGGACGGGACGGAATGGAACGGGAAGGACGGCATGGGACGGGGACCGAGAGAAGGCTCGATATCATGAAGTCTTTTTCGATGCCCTAGAGCCTTTTTCGATGTCCGGACATGCAGCTCCCGTGGGGTTCATCTCACATCAGTCGGTGTACATCACTGTTTCAGAAAGTTACTCATCAGCATTGCGAGAATACATTTTGGCTAAACCCAAGTGCAGATGCTGTTTATAGTTTCAAGTTTCAAGTCGCTCAGGCTAAATTTTCGGGATATGGCACTGGTGCTGGGGTTTCGAGCACATGTTATTGCAATCTAGAGTACATTTGACCCCGATCTTTCAAGTAGTGTAGATGACGCTTCTCCTGGGGCTGCAACCGCCGTCCACACATGGAGCACTGATCTTTGGAGCAAACTCACAAGTCGCAAACACTCTTGCAGGCAACACCCGAGATCCATGTAGTGAGCGTTGTTCTTGCGTTGCACTGCACGTGCAATGCTTGTAACGATGCTTGAACTGGGAAACTGCAGATGGGTGCGGTAGTGGATCTCCAACACCAGGATCTGCAAACAAAACGGCCAGGGCCATACATAGAAAGTGACTCCGTCCGCCCAAAAGGGCTTGCAAGCGGTACTTTTGTCTAATCCTGCACCCTCCGCCTTCGAGACATCGGTGCCATCGCAACGCATCAAAACCAACAATTCCCCACCTAGACATACCTAGATGCTCGATTCCACAAGCACCCGCTCGAGACACGCACCAGCCGCATGTCAACGCATCAAAACCCGCCTTTCCCCATGTAGACGCTCCATTCCACAAGCAACTGCTAAAGAAACGCCCGAATCTACACACCTCAGTAGCCTTACAACACATCAAAACCAACACGAGCCATTCCCATGTAGACGCTCGATTCCACACGGAGCAGGCGGCAGAAGGACCGATTTCAAACAGAAGATATTAATAATACAAGTCATAGATGCGATTGTTTGAAGTGCCATTCTCGAGTGTGGACCCTCATTGATGCGTGTTTCAACCAATCGATGCGACATAGAGCAACTAGTATTTCGCGTGGTAGCATACGGAATACAGTGAACTGCAGAAAGTTGGAAAATGTGGTAAGGCTAGTAAGGACGATTGGAGCGGTGGTCATCTTACTCTGCCTTAAGGGCACGTGGATACTCAAGTTCAGCTCTCTCCGGCACCCGAGCTCCTGAAACTCCTTCCAGCCGGCACCATGCCCATAAAGAACCTCTCCAATTGGTAGGGTTCACGTTGCTGCGCTTGCAGATCATGTCAGATTCAAGACTTGAACTGCTGTACTTCACCATGCTATCTGCCATTGCGCACCTGCTTGCCGTTGACATTCCTCGTAACGAAGAAGCTGATCATCTTGCTTCGAATCCTGTGGCATGTCATCAAGTAACAGCTTACATGCACGCTGACACCAGCAGTGTCGAACTTGGCACCGATTGCATCCTAAACTTCATGGTTCATCGTGATCACCAGATTAGCCGTGCTTCTTGTGCTCCAATGCCATGCTGATCGGGACAACAGATTCCAAGGAGCCCCCACAGTGTTGTCGCGGTGTTCGCCTCGGAAAACAGCTCGCTTCTGTATGTAGCTGCACTGAAGCTCTTCTGTTGTGAAGCTCCGAAGGTCAAGCCGCGCCATCAGTGTGAGAAAGTCATACATCATGTCGGTGTCGTACATTGCAGACCTGCCAGTGTCCTGCTGCATGAACAGTCGCGTTGCACCGGATGGAATGCAGCCCAAACTGTGCGTAGCCATTCACATCCGCTTCAAAGTCTATGCCAATCGCAGCGACAGTAGAAGTCATCGTCATCATCATCATCATCATCAGCAGGGCAGCATCATCAGGATCCTGATTATGATGATGAGCATCGCCATCATCATCCTCATCATCATCATCTTCTGGGTCTTTTGTCTGAACGACCCGGTGCTTCTAACCCTACAGTGTCACGATCCTCCTTCAGCATCCGCGTGAGCCGGCCTTCCTGGACCCAGTTATAAAGAGTGATGCATGTGACACGACTACAGATGTGAACAATGCACAGCTCAACTGCATCATCTGCGTTCACGCCTCGCGAAGGCCGACCACGCCATAGAGAAACAGCCACAAAAACCACCTGAGCAGTTGGAGATGTCACCAGTAGCCGACGCAGGTGTCCAGCCGAGCTGCCGAGCTGCACCAGCCGGACCCCACGACATCGGATGCAGAGCTGCCGCACAAGATGTCGCATGGATTTGACAAACTACGCTTTCTCAAATCCAGAGCCAAAGCCATGCAGCATGGATTGGCGAGGAGAGGCTGCATCTAAGATATTCCAACCCTTGTGACAGCGTGAGGTCTTCGTCAGATGTGCAGGGAAGTCACTGCGAACGGTCCGGTCCGTGGCCTTGTCTTCCGGCACTTGCTGCCCGACTGGGCAGCCAGGCCAAGAAACCTAGCAGACACTACGACCAGCATCCACAGCCATCACACGGATTCACACGGTGGGAAGCTGGGAGCAAAAACGACCGGATCAAGACTAAGAAAGCCAAGGCGCCCAAGGGACAGTGTGCCTGAGTCGCGCAGCGCCTATGACGAAACCTCTTACAGAGGCCATGCAGCGAAGGCGCAATGGTGGACTGCGTACAGACACCTAAGCTGCCCGAAGCACTGCATTCACCAAGTGTTCGAGTTGCTGTTCTGTCGCAACTGCACTCGCTTGCTCTTTAACTACTCCCTCCCTCCCTCCCTCCCTCCCTCCCTCCCTCCCACGTGTGTTTCTTCAGGGATTCTAACGAGTCACCACCGTGGGCAGAACCCTCATAGGAAAGCTCAGCAAACCCTGGACCTGCAAGGTCAGCAAAGCAAAACAGTGACTCCAAAGTGCGCTAACATGCTGCAGACCAACATGTTGACAGCTTTAAACTGACCGCATGCCTATAGAATCCTATAAATCTAGCTTGCATTGGCTTGCCAATGCCAGTCTATGCGCAGCTCCTCGCTGACGCGAGGGTGCGGTATGGGCCATCTCGAATTACCAATGTACTACGTGTACACAAAGTGCAAAATCACGATCTTTTCATAAACACAACAGTGACCGACCCCTGCTTCACGCTGGATTTCACAACATTGTCACTCAATCTGGACGCAGTCGCGAGTGGTAAATTTACATTCTGCACACGCACACGTGCGTGTGCAGGCGCGCAAAAATGCACACACGCGCGGGAGCCCGCACACCCACACAACACACACACCCCGACGCACACCCACACGCACACCCACCCACCCACCCCCCACCCCACCCCCACCCACCCACCCACCCACCCACCCACCCACCCCCACGTGCACACCCCACCCCACCCCCACCCCCACCCGCACCCACCCCACCCCCACCCCCACCCCATCCCCACCCCCACCCACACCCACCTACCCTACCCACACCCACACCCACCTACCCACACACCACACCCACACCCACACACCACACCCACACCCACCCACCAAACCCACACCCACACCCACCCACCCACCCACCCCACCCACCCACCCACCCACCCACCCACCCTGGGAGGATATGGTCGCTTTTCTAGCTCCTGCAGCTGAGGGGGCCCGACGGACTCAAGGCTGAACTGATGCGAGGCTCGGCATCCCGAGCAGACCAAAGGATTTCCAGCCTGTCAACTACTCGTTCAGGAGTGCTTTTGCGTTTATCCAACGCAGATATCCCTCAGGTGAACCGATCAGGGTTCAGTTACTGGTAGCCGATCAGGGTTCAATCAAAGGAACCGTTCAGGGTTCGAACCGATCAAGGTTCAATGCAGTAGGCAATCCTACCGTAGACGGCACGTTGAACGAGAAACCGTCTAGATACACACTCGTGCAATCCTCCCTTTGTTTCGACTTGATACTTAGACTATCTCCACAGGTAAAGATTGTAGCCACGTAGGCGGTATGTGCTTCAGACACTAAACAAGTTGGGGTTCTTGGCTTGGCCCCATAGCCATTGGCAGAAAAAGTAATGCAGGTACACAGATTGGTGTCCCAATCTGCTTTACGGAGTATCCAAAGCCGTCTTCGTTGGCAGCAGAACTGTGGACTCCCTGCTGTCCCCTGCGCTGTACAGAAAATCTACATGCTATCTCTTGGTAACAGAGTTCCCCACACACACACACAAATCGCACAAAAAGCACGCAACAACACACAAAAAACAAACAACAGCACACACAAACACACACAAAAACCACAAAAAAACACAAAAAAAAACACAAAAGCACAAAAAAGCACACAAACGCGCACGCACGCGCGCACACACACACTCACGCACGCACGCGCACACACACACA